TTTTGCATTCTCTCTGAGGTCCTACAGGGCCAGCTAAGATGCTTAGTCTAGAGCAGGGCTGGCTGGAGGTCAGAGCTTTCTCGGCTGTGTTTTTCTGGCAGGCCCTCAAGACAGGCTGAATGCAAGGCCAGCCGCAGACTGACATCTGCCCTTAGAAGGTGCTGGCTGGAAGGATCAATTTTAAACCTGATGGGGTTGCTCTTTGGACTTTCTTTTTTTTTTTGTCGGTCATGGAGCCTGAACTCTGGGCTTGGGCACTGTCCCTCAGCTTTTCAGCTCAAGGCTAGTGCCCTACCACTTGAGCCACAGCGCCACTTCCAGCTTTTTTTTTCTGCTTATGTGGTGCTGAGGAATCGAACCTAAGGCTTCATGCATGCGAGGCAAGCACTCTACCATGGAGCCACCTTCCCAGCCCTCACCTGTAGGGATTTTAAACCAGGGATACTTGGCCTCTGCTGGCTCTTCTCCCTGCAAGGAAGATCATGGGCCCATCTGTCTCTAAGTGTAATAGCATTCTCTTTCTCCTCTCCTGAGATTGGGAGGCCCAAGGAAGTTTGTGTGTGTGTGTGTGTGTGTCTGTGTGTGTGTGTGTGTGTCTGTGTGTGTGTGTGTGTCTGTGTGTGTGTGTGTGTCTGTGTGTGTGTGTGTGTGTGTGTAGGACCATCCATCTACCCACTGAAATCATACTCTCCAAGTCTGGCTCCCAGCATATATTCACTAGACACCCCCACCCCACCTGGCCCCTTCCTTTTCTCTCAGCATCTACCCCTACCCCAGAGGCCTGTTGCTTTCCTTCCCTTTCCATGTGTTTACCCTCAACCCAGAAATGCAACTGAATACCCAACTCATAAGATAGCTTGTTTTCCTTTCTTTTCCTTCCTTCTTCACTCCCTCTCTTTCTCCTTTCATTCTTTCTTTCTTTCTTTCTTTCTTTCTTTCTTTCTTTCTTTCTTTCTTTCTTTCTTTCTTTCTTCCTTCCTTCCTTCCTTCTTTCCTTTCTTTCTTTCCTTCCTTCCTTTCCTTTCTCCCTCCTTCCCTTCATGAGGCTTGTACTCAGGGCCGGGGAAATGTTCATTAGCTTTTTGGCAAACACGTAGCACTCTACCACTTGAGCCACACTCCCATTTCTGGCTTTTTGGTGGTTAATTGGAGATAAGAGTCTCAGGGACTTTCATTCCTGGGCTGGATTCAAATCTCCATCCTCAGATCTCAGGCCCCCGAGAAGCTAAGATTACAGGCTTGAGCCACCAACGCTTGTCTTCTATCCTCCTTTTTTTGAGAGGATCAGTGTTGGCAGTGTTGGTCAGTGGTAACAGAACTAGCTTAGTGTTTTGTGTCTCTGAGTTCAATCCTCACTACTGCAAAAATCAACTAACCAACAACAACAAAAATGCCAATAACAGTTGCCTGATTTCCTTGGACCTGCTGCTGTGTTTTCTTTGTATTTCATTCATTATTGCAGACTCCATGGCAGGGACAGGAACTATCTGTGGGTGAGGGAGGCTCCTCTTAGACTCTGTGGCTGCCAGGGAAGGACAAGGATCCAGGGTAGATGTTCACTGGGGCTCCAGAGGCTGCAACAAGGACTGGCAGGAAGGGTTTGGGGACCTTGAGAAGGTGGATTCGAAGTCTAGAACCGCCAAGAGCTCCTGAGAGTCCTTTTCCAGACTCCTGTCTCACTTGGACAGTTGATTAGAAGGCCCAACTACTTCATCTCATGGTTGTCCTCCAGTTCCTTTTAAATTTGGCTCAGTGGTAGAGTGCTTGCTTTGCATGCATGAAGCCCTGGGTTCGATTCCTCAGAACCACATAAATAGAAAAGGCCAGAAGGGGCAATGTGGCTCAAGTGTTAGAGTGCTAGCCTTGAGCACAGAGAGGCTCAGGGATAGTGCCTAGGCTCTGAGTTCAAGCCCCAGGACTGGCAAAAGAAAATTGTATGGGAATGCAAATGGGGATAAAGAATGGAACTTGGTGGTTCTCTTCTAGATATTATTCCTTAAGCATCTCCTTAGTGACTACAAACAACACTTACATAAGCATTTGTAAGCATTTTATTTATGTGGATGAGTTTCCTCCTTACCACAACTTTAGCAGTATTATTAATAACCTTGTTCCACAGATCAGGAAACCATGACAAGGAAGTAAAGCTGGATTTATTTATTTATTTTTATGCTGGTCTTGAAGTTTGAAGTCAGGCCTGGGGTGCTATCCCTGATTGTTTTTTGCTCAAGGCTAGTGCTCTACCACTTGAGCCACAGCTCCACTCCCAGCTTTTTTTTGGTAATTTGTTGGAGATAAGAGTCTCATATATTTTCCTGCCCAGCTGGCTTTGAACCATGATCCTCAGATCTCAGTCTCCTGGGTAGCTAGGATTACAGGCGTGAACCATCAGTGCCTGGCTGGAGCTGGGATTTGAACCAGGTTGTCTGGCTGCAGACTCTGAGCTCCTCAGCACCACACTTAACATTCCGGGCACTGTGCTAAGTGTTTACCCCAATCCTCTTCATTTTGTTCTTGAGAAATCTGAGCCTCAGAGCAGTTGAGCAACAGCTGAAGGTCGCACAGCTGGGGAGCAGCAGAGTTGAGATTTAAAGTCAGCCAGGCTCCAGAGTCTCTGCTCTCCCCACTCCCTGGCCAGGAGCTCTTATGGCCAGTTTAAGTCATCTTTACACGTTGTGCTGTCCCCTGTGCCGAGCCAGTTCCTTCCTCTAAACTTCAGGATGGCGGGGGTCCGCCCCGATCCCTGAGGTCCGTGGTAGCTGTGTGAGTCTGTGTGATGGAAGACGTATTGGTGTGGCTAGCTGGCAGAGAGTAGCTTTGTGGCCTGGGCTTGGCCTGTGACTGCAGACAGGGAGGAAGGAGGGGACAAAGGACCAGCAAAGGAATGAAGGGGGAACTTGTGGAAAGTATAGAGGGGCTGGGCGTGGGGGGAATGAACCCCGAATAATGGAGCAGTTGTATCTGAAGACGCTAAGGAAAGAGGGGGAGAAAAGCTCCAGTGAGATTCCCTGAGGGGTGGGGGTGGGGTGGGAGGGAGGGTACCCTTTCCTTCTTCCTGGGGGGGGGTCACCTCTAAAGCTCAAGATAGACAGGCTCGTGAGAGCACTGGACAAGGAGGCCAGGGGTCAGGCCACTGTGGAACTGAGCTTGGAACTTGGAGACACAGCATTTTGGGGAATTAGCATTGCTGGGGGTTGTTGTATTGTCTCTGTAAATATTTAGAGAGTCCAATTATTCTAGAAAAATGTATTAGAAGCCAGGGTGGCGTGTTCGTGTGGTTGGCTTGGCTTCCTTTTCCATGACTGCTTTGTGGTTTTGTTATATTCCCCCTGCCCGCCCCCCCCCCTTCCCCCTGGCTCCCACTGGCTCCTCACAGGAATGGAAGCTTGTTTTCCCATCTGTAACCTCATTAGGACATGACAACCCCCCCATCCCGTCCCCCACAAGGTTGGGCAGGTTCCCTTTGGGGACACACGTGCGTGCAGCGGTATTGTTTCTTGGAGCCCAGCTGCACCTTTTAATATTTAATGCCATTGACGCAGGCTGCCCACACTCAGAGCCAGGCTCATTCCTTCCAGGGTGTCGGCTCCCAGCAGCGAGGCTGCCTTTCCAGACTGATTTCATCCCACAGAGGCGGGGATGTCTTAGGGTTATGAGATTAAAGAATGAGGCTCATTACCAGGCAGGATCCATTTTTAATAAGGCTCTGCTTTTTGCTTGGGGCTTGAACTCCAGGCCTTGTTTGGCTTCCCCCCGCCCCCTCCCAGTTGAGGCTGATGCTTTACCACTTGAGCCATAAACTCTACTTCCTAGCTTTTGGGTGGTTAATCGGCCTTAATAAATGTCCCTCTGATTTGTCTACCTGGGCTGGCTTGGAATTGTGCTCCTCAGAGCTCAGGCTCTTAAGTAGCTAGCATTGCAGGTGCGAACCATCTGGATCCAGCTTTGTGTGTGCGTATCTTAGCCCTCCCTCCTCTCTGTAATCATTGCCCAGGCTCAGAGTGACTTCGATGCCAAAACTGCAGGCGTCCCTCACAGGCTGAACTAACCTCTCTCTCTGGTTAGGAGTAATCAGGGTTCCGAGTGGGCATCAGAGACATGGATCCCTGGCCTGGGGGGAGGGGGGAGCGGGAAGAGCAGCATTTGGTCCTGGCTCCCTGTTATCCCGCAATGGCATCGGCATTGCTGTGGTCCATTCCACATTCATATGTTGGACTTTAAACCCCAATGTGATGGTGTTCGAGGGTGGAGCCTTTTGGGGGAGATAATTAGGCCATGGGGCCTCCACCCTCATGAATGGGATGGATGCCCTTATGACCAGCTTCCAGATGTGGTGGGAAACATGTTCCTATTGTTTATCCATTACCCGGTGTGGTAATTTTGTGATAGTAGCAGGAATGGGCCAAGACTTAAGCCTTGGAGACCACTGTTACTAGGGTCTGTAGGAAGGGTTCCAGCTCCTAAGCATCCAGCAAAGGATCCCACGCAGCCTGTCTCATCAGTGCTTACCCTACACCCTTCACTCCAGAGAGCTGTGACCTCTGAGCCCCCGGAAAGAGGGCTGTTAAAGATTAGGGGTTCTAGTTCTTGGCTATGTTGGGACAGACGAGCAGCGTGCCATGTTGATGTGGTAAAAAGGGTGGTGATGGTAGAGGGGGTGGGGGCTTGCCCAAAGAATACACTCATTTGCCATTTATAAAAACAAACAAAAACAAAACTACCAATTTCCCCCCTGTCTTTGAAAGCTGTTGTTTCCTCAAGGGAACATTTTTATTTGTACATGAGTAAAATGTGCTCTCTTAATGAATTGAAAGCAGAACCTGAGAGTTTTTCTGTCTCTGTGCCCGTTTCTGGGGCTTTGAACTCAGGGCCTGGGCACTGGCACTGTCCTTTTGCTTTTTCACTCAAGGCTGGTGATCTATCATTGGAGTCACAGTTCCACTTCCAGCTTTTTGGTGGTTAATTAAAGATCAGAGTCTTAGGGACTTTCCTGCCTGAACTGACTCTGAACTGTAATTCTCAGATCTCAGCCTTCTGGGTAGCGAGGATTATAGGTATGAGCCACTGGTACCCGGCTTCATTGACTTTCAGTAGCCAACACCTTTACCGTCTTTCACCCCAAACTTGTCCTCCTGTCCCCTCTTACCATCCAAGTAGAAAGCTGACCCTAACTCTGGAGCTTTGGCTGAGAGTTGCCTTGCTCAGGCTGCATAGGAATCCTGGGCTGCAGGAAACAGCATGGCTCTCCTGTGAAGAGCAAGGAGGGGTTGGGGGTGAGGGTCTTGGATAGAGGAACAGGTGTGTTCTGAGAGAGCTTGTTGGCTGCCATTTCTTGCTGGCTTGGACAAGAGTTGAAAGCTGGAGGAAGGGATTTACAGACTTAGTTTGACAGGTGGATGGCTGCCTTTCCTCCATAATCTAAGCTATCTTCCTGTTGGTCTTCGAGACAAAGCCTGGTTTTCTGGAACACCTGTTCTCTGCTTTTGATTGTCTGGGTTGTTTTCTTTCTGGATCAGATGAAGGTTTATTTAGAATACTCAGCAGCTTGGTTCTCCCCTCTTCGCCCCGTCTGCTTCATGCTAGAGGGTGTGGATGGTTTCTCCACTTTCACTTCTAACTGTTGGTTTGGGGACAACAGCCATGGTTTGAGTGTGTTGCCAGTTCTGGCCTTAGGTTCTCAGCTGTGTCTCTTCCAGCCTTGGTTGAGGTAGCACGGATTGGTCTTCAGCAGTGTCTTAGGCCATGAAGTCAACCTGGATGGCCTAGAACTGCTTTTCTCTCTTCAGATGGAGTCATTGCATCAGCACCGTGTTCCCACCCTAGGGGCCCTGGGAGACATCCCTGTAAGTCTGGGTAGAGGAGGCGTCTAGGGGGAAAAGGTGGTGGTGGTCTCGGCTTCCATGCTCATGGAGCCATGCCGCGTGTACCGGCAGGAAGACCACTGCCGGAGCTGTTCCTGGCTGAGGCAGCCCAAGTCCTTGAAGAGCTTGAAGAGGTCATTTCGGAACTTGACCCCGATGAACGCGTACAAGAAGGGATTGACGCAGCAGCGGACACACGCCAGGCTGTAGGTGATGTCGTAAGCGATGTTGAGCTGCTTGCTGAGCGCGCAGCTGCTTTTGGTGATGTTGAAGTCGGCCACCGTCTGAGCCAGGACCACACCGTTGTAAGGCAGCTGGAAGACGATGAAAACCACCACCACCGCGATGATCACTTTGATAGCCTTGTTCCGCTCAAAGTTGCGAGCCTGGAGCAGGGTGCGAATGATGACGAGGTAGCAGAAGCTCATGGCTAGGAGGGGCACCACAAAGCCCATCACCATCTGGGCCACCCGGATGATGATCAGGGCCTCCATGTACTCTGTGATGAGCGAGCATCTCCAGGCATGCTCGCTGTTGCTCTTCTGCAGGTTGCTGTAGACCAGCTCTGGGATGGAGAGCAACAGGGCCAGGAGCCAGATACCCACGCAGGACAGCTTGCTGATGAGAAGCACCCGGGCACGGTGGCGGTGAGCAGACACGGCCTGGACGATGGCCACGTAGCGGTCGATGCTGATGCAGAGAAGCAGCAGCATGCCGCTGAAGAAGCTTACTTTGTAGATGCCGAAGATGCTCTTGCAAAAGTAGACGCCAAAGATCCAGGATTTGGCTGCGCTGTAGGCCCAGAAGGGGAGGGCCAGGAGGGAGAGCATGTCTGCCAAAGCCAGATTAAGCAGGTACATATCGGTCATGGTCTTGAGTCTCTTGAAATAGATGTAGGTCAACACCACCAACCCATTGCCCACAAGGCCTAGGAAGCAAATGATCGAGTACATGATAGGTAAGAACCAGGCCTTAAAGTTCCTAACATCTTTCTTGGAGCACAGAGACTCATACACGGTATAATCCACGGTGGTGTTGTCTCCGATATAATCATCTGTGGACTCATCTTGGCACAGGCACACCTGTGAGGGGAAGGAACCAAGAGGGAGGAAAAAAAATAAAAGAATCCAGTTGAGCTTAGTGGGTTTGAATCCAGCTGGGAGTTAAAGCAAGAGCAGCACTGTCAAGGGTGGTCATCATCAGCATCATTGTCAACCTTACCCTGGGAAATCTGCTAGAAATGCAGATTCTCTCCCCTCACCTGACTCGTGGGGGAAGGTGAGGGGCAGGGGGGGAGGGGATGGGATCTCTGTGGTTCCTAAACTTTCTGTGGGTTCTTCGGTTTGAAATGTGTACCTCTCGGATTATAGCACGCCTATGGATTCACCTGGATCTTGTTGAAGTTCACATCTGGATTCCAGAGGCTGGGGCGGGGCCTGAAACTCTATGCATTTCCCAGAATCATTAGCAAGGACCTGATTTGGCCAAGTCTGAGACATTTGACCTTAAATGGACTGATGATGGACTGGGGAATAGTCTGGACTTTGGGGTTTGATGCAGCTTGAGCTTGTTAAATATGCTTCCTTTCCCCCAAACCTCAGTTCTTTTTTTAAAAAAAATTCTTTTATTGGAAAGGCGATGTATAGAGGGGTGGCAGTTACATAAGTCAGGTATTGAGTACATTGCTTTTTTTGAACAGTGTCACTTCTTCCCTCGGTTTTCTCCTAGTTTTTTCCCCTCCCCGACCATAGTGTCTAGTGAAGACCACTGCCAAGTTAGTTCATCCTTTGTCCCACCATTTCTGTGCTTCCCCGTCCGCTCCCCAAGTCACATACAAAGGTACAGAAATCAAAAACAGTGACAAAAGGGAAAAGCAGAAAAAAAAGAAGAAAAACAAAACCACAGAAAGTAAAATAAAAAACCTTCTTGTTTCCATTTCTTGGAGCTCATTCTGATAAGCATCGTTTTAGATGATCATATACACATAGCTATTGAGCCCTCGTGATCCTTTTCTAAGAATATCCTCCTGTGGTCTCACTCTGTGAATGGTTAGAGTCCTGTTTAATTGATCACATCCAGGCTCTTTTACTATCCGTCGGGTTTACTTGTAGATTTATAGTCCAAGCCTAGTTTACCTGTCTGTTACAGACTGGTGAGTCTTTATCTCTTTCACACAGTTGTTGGGAGGTACCTAGCCAGCTTACGGTTCCTTGTCATTGCTTGGAAATTTGTCAAGTAGGCAATGTTTGTCTGTGTGTCTCCCTTCTATCTAGAGTCTGGGTGGACTTGAATTGCTTCAGCTGTGTGTGTGTGTGTGTGTGTGTGTGTGTGTGGTGTGGCCTCAACTGCAGCCTCATTGTGTGGGCAGCTGTTCCCCTGGAAGGAAAGAAGCGTGGCTCTCTCCTTCTGTGCTATCTCCCCCACACCTCTGTGCCTCTCTCTTCTGGCAGATCCCAATCAGCAGGGCTCAGCTGCTTTGGGCTTTTTTTAGCCTGTCTGCCTGCCTGGTGGTGAGAGTTCAGCGGCTTGCTGTGATTTTATCAATGGAAGGGGCCTGCCTGCCTATGTCTCCACATGATGATCGATGGGCCTGCTGGGCTCTGCTGGGCTAGGACCTGGGCTGGCCCCACTCTGAAGCCTCATGGTTCCTCCTCTGGGAACGGGACTCTTAACAGTTCAATGATCATCCAGATCATGCATCATCATGTCTGGCTTGGGGACAGGGAGAGGACTAAATGGGATCCAGGAGTCATTTCTTTAGGCATTGCTAGTTTGGTAAATCAACCTAGCAGCCCCCTTTCCTCTTCCCTGGGCATGGCTGCAGCCTGGGAGTCTAGAAGAGGCTAGCTCACTGGTGGCAAGGTCAAGGCCTTGGGTCTGGGGGCTTCTGAGCCTTCCTGATGGGCAGTCCTCCCAGCCTGTGATGTGTGCTCCCCCACCCAGTGTGCCTCCTCTCCTCCTGCTCCCAGCCTTGTTCCTGCTCCGCCCCCTCCCCAGCCTTGATGATTGTGCAGCCCACAGCCCTACCACATCCGGCCCTGTCTGAATCCCCCTCCCCCCAAGTGAAAGAGAAGAATGAGCCACAGCTGTCTTCATCCCCTCCCCAGTCTCCCAGCCAGCAGTACAGAAGGGGAGGGAGTAGTGACAGGGAAGGGGGCCAGGCAGAGGGCTGCAGCCATTGCTGGGGGAGGGGGGAGAAGGGGAGGGGGAGGGAGGAGTGGGCTCTGGAATGGGGTTTTGGGAAGATGGCCCAGCCTTGGGGCCTGCTTCTGGCCTGATCTCCTGGAAAGCTGCCCCTCTGGCCTTGAGACAAAGGGAAAGAGCCAAATTCTGAAGCATGGCCTTTCCAGGCTGGCCTTGGCCATCTCCCTCCACCCCACTCCCACCCCCAGCCCCAGAGAGGCCCACCCTGACTAACAAGAGGAAACTTGACTCTGAGAGTTACAGTTTCCTTTGACTCTGGCACTTGGTACTTTCTAGAACTGAGAAATGGAACCATGTGAGTTGAGGAATCTTTGCTTCTGCAGAGTTCAGGCCCCTGACAGAGTGTGCACTCTGGGCCATTGCTTTCTCCCTCCCCTCCCCAAGCCCCTTCCTTCCTCCCACCCCTGCCCCCACCTGGCCCCCCCAGGACCCTAGCTGGGTCTCAGTTCATGAAAGAGAACAGGGATGAGGATGAAGGATAGGTGACAGGATAGTAACCAGGTCACCAGACCACTGAGAACTAAGAACTTTTTCTCAGCTTGTAGGTGGCATTTCACATGTGGGTTCCCCCCCCTCCTCCATATTGATAAAAGCAAAGCAAAACAAAACCAAAACAACAACAACAAAACCCAACAACAACCAGGTTCCCTGGCAGGCTTCAGCAGGGGCTGGAACAGGGGTGGAGAAAGTAATCCTAAGTCCCCAGCCTCCTCCTGTTTGAACTTAAATGAGGTCAAAGAAGTCTAGGAACAGCTGTGCCTTTCCAAGGTCACTCCACAAATAGAGAGGGTCCGGCCATCAGCTTCATGAATGGCAGCCCGATGTGTGTCTAGAGTCTTGGCTTTCCCGCCTGCTCCTCCACCAGTATCTATGGCTTGGAGTTGGGTGGGGTGGGATGGGGGCACAAGAGGGAACTAAGTTGCCCTTGTGATAGGAACCTCACCTGGAAGATGACGAGGAGCGCCACCACCAGCACGCTTTTCATGGGCTTCCCTGGAGGAGACAAGGCCAGGTTATTGCTTGGTAGACCCAACTCTTTTTTCTTTTTCTTTTGTCAGTCATGGTGCTTGAACTCTGGGCCTGGGCACTGACTCTGAGCTCTTCAGCTCAAGGCAAGAGCCACTTGAGCCACAACGCCACTTCCACTTTTTCTGGTGGTTAATTGGAGATGAGAGTCCTGCCCAGCCTAGCTTTGAACTGGGATCCTCAGATCTCAGCCTCCTGAGTAGCTAGGATTATAGGCATGAGCCACCACTGGCAGACCCAATTCTTCGTTATTAAAAAAAGCAATGAGGGGTGAGGTGGGGGGGGATAGGGGGAATGAAGGAGATGCTTGGGAACTTTCATCCCAAGCTGTGGGAACCACCAGTTTGCTGAGAGAGAACATCAGAACCAGATTGTGCCTTTGAACACTTGGCCAGCTGCCCGGTATCCCTGTCCTCACCTTCTTCAATGGTTATCATCATCTTCCTCCATTCCCATGTCCAGGAAAGAAGTAGGGATCAGAATATGAGCTGCTTCTCCCCTAAACCCTGCCCTGTATCATCTGAACTTCCTCTGGCTTGGAGGGTTTTTGCTGACAGCCCACTTTGGCCCTCAACTGACTATAGAAGGTCTGAATGTCCCTCCAGTTCTGTGTGATGCTGGGAGAGAAGGCAAGGCACCCCAGTGGGGGTGGGGAGCATCCCCACCTACCTTAGGGCCAGGAACCTTGGGCTTCATACTAATGGGGGATCTTCTACCTGCCCCACCCCAGTGGGCTGAGAAAACAGGGATAGAGAGTTTCAAAGGGCTGGGTCAAAGAGTGAGATTACTTGGTGGTCTTTTTTTTTTTTTGCCAGTCCTGGGGCTCAAACTCTGGGCTTGGGTGCTATCCTTGAGCTCCAATGTGCTCAAGGCTAGCACTCTACCACTTGAGCCACAGCCCCACTTCTGTTTTTTTTTTTTCTGTGATTCATCAGAGATGAATCTCATGGACTTTCTTGCACAGGCTTTGAACCTTGATCCTCAGATCTCTGCCTTCTGAGTAGCTAGAATTACAAGCATGAGCCGTGGGTGCCCATCTACTTACTGTCCCCCTAAGACCTCTTTTGTGTCACTCATGGACACTCATTCAGCACTGCCTGTTGATCCCCTGGCCCACCCTTCTGCTTGCCTCTGGGGAAGGGACCCCTTTTCTTGTGCAGGCCCAGAATCAAGGACTTGCCCAAGAATTGTGTGCTTTTGGGTTCCCTTTTCCAACGCAGCCAGAGAAAATGCTGAGTGTGGTGTGTGGCTGCTGGTCCATGATATCCCACCCTCCTTTTGTCTCATAACTGAAGTATGTGTGTTGATATCCTCTCCTTTAAGTTATTTTCGACTTCTGGGCTTTGGGTGGAAGGCCAAAAGGACTGGCTTTAGGGAAGGGACATATTCTAGAAGTCAGGAGGATCCCCTTTGGTTCTGAGCTGCAGATGGAGACCCAGGGTTAACGCAAGGTTTGCCTGAGCTGTAGATAGCTGCTCAGCTCTGCCCATCTGACAGCAGACAGAGTGATTTGTGTAGACGTCTTATCCTACCTCCCAGTCTGGAAACATCCCCTGGGGAACCAGCTATACCTTCTTGGCATTTATAAAACCCTCCCTGTCCTCTGAGGCCTCAGTTCCCAGCCACAAGAGAGTCAGTTCTTTTGGATGGCACATGCGAATGCAAAGGCCCATCATAGCTCCAGTGTTGGTTAGCAGGGAGTGGAATTGCCCAGGACCTTGCTCCAGGCCATCTTCTGGAGGCTGGGGCCCCCTGGAGGCAGGGATTCAGCAGAAGCCTAGCATTTCTATGTCCTAGGTCATAGCACCACCTTCTGGAATCCAAATAGCATAACACCTAGAGTGTAGCACTTAAAAGGTTCCAGATTGAATTGCTTGAGGCTGGAATTCTGGGCTAGGGTCTTCCTAGGGCCTCAGGCAGCCACCCAGAAAAATTCTTGTTTCTTTCTGCCTCAACCATATTATCCTGCACGCTAATGTTAAATACGCCTTCATAAACCATAGCTCCGATATCAACCCTCCATTGTACCAGGCCCTACCCAGCACCTTTAAGGAAGAAGCCCCTTAAGATTGGCATGGGGATCCAGTCCTCCAAGGTGTACTTGCACCTGCTTTTCCAGCATCTCCTGTCTCTGGGCAATGGATGCTCAGCTTAGCATCCCTCTCCCACCTCTGCAGCATTTGCAAATCTGTTGGGAATGGACCACTGCCCTGTGTAGCTTCATCTGGCTCCCTTCTCTGGCCCCTTTCTTACTCCCCATTTCCTCTTAAACCCCTGAGCATGAGGTCACGTATCTGTACTTAACCACACTTTCTTCAGGGTCCAATGCAACCTACTCTTCCCTGACTCATCTCGGGGCTCAGTGTTCGAGGTTTCTTTCCACACATCAGATCTTTCAGTTACTCCAGAGAAAGCTTATTCTGACTGTCCCTGAGAATGAGAAACCTCAGAGTTTTGAGAAGCTGTAATAGGTGACATATAAAGAGCAAAAACTGTTTCTATTTTATTTTTTCCACCTCATCTCCCCTGGGCCCTGCTCTTATTTTTTTTTGCTACTGTTGCAAGGAAGGGGAACCTAGGGGAAATGTGTGTGTGCAAATGTATGTGTGTGTGTGTGTGTGTGTGTGTGTGTGTGTGACTTCTATTCCAGATGTGTTGGACATGAAGGATGAGCAGGTCCAAGGCAGGCCATTTTCAAGACAGATAACAGGGAAACTTGGGGGAATTCTGGTGTGTATGTCAGAGGGACCTAGCCAGTGGCCATGAGTCAGATCATGCTTGTCTGTTACAAAGTCATAAAGCAACTAGTCTTGGGCAGCAGCTTGGGTAGGAGCAATGATGTTGAGCTTCTTTGGGGTAGAAGAGTGGTTGCCCTATGCATTGGGTATTTTCTACATTCTTGAGTTTACAGTAACGTCCACCATGAAAAGAAAATTCCCTAGAACTCCAACGTGAAGCTGGGCACTGGTGGCTCATTCCTGTAATCCTAGCTACTCATGGAGGCTGAGATTTGAAGATTGTGGTTGAAAGCCAGCGGGGGCAGGAAAGTCCAGGAAACTCTGATTTTCAATTAACCAGCTCAAGTCCAGAAATGAAGTTGTGGTAGGCCACCAACCTTGAGTGAAAAAGCTAAGGGACAGCTCCTAAGCTCTGAGTTCAAGCCCCAGTACCAACACATGCACACACACACACACACACACACACACACACACACCCCTCCAACCTGAGCCCCCAGCTAGAGTCACCTCCCTCCCAGGAAGAGAGGATTGCTCTCATTGGTTTGTGACACCTCCAAGCCCAGAGCTTCCTTGGGGATATTTTCCCAGGCCCTGCAGGCTGGCCAGGAAGTCACGGCCACCTACCTGTCAGCTAATCCAGGGAGCCACCCTCAGCCTTGTCCTTTCTGGATTTTCTTACCCAGGAACACAACGTGGCTCTTTTTGGGTATGGAGAGAGGGAGCAGGCTGAGGTGGAAAGGTGGTATAGGCTCTGGGAAGAAGATGAGAGGCCTGAGGGACCCCCCCCCCTCCCCAGTCAGACCTTTGGTAGGAAGGCACAGACTGTTTGGGTCTTGTAGTGCTAGGATAATCCGCTGCTTTATCCAGTGATGAAACTGGTGTTTACGAGCTCTCTGGACCAAACTGTCCATACGTCTGACTTCATTTTCTCCTCACATATGCCCTGTGAAGTGGGTAACACCATTATCCCCATCTAGTAATGAGGAGACTGCATGGAGTACAGTAAGATTAGTAAACTCTCCAGTGTTACTTGATTAAGCTGTCAGTAGAGCTGGGTTTTGAATAATTTGATTTTTATTTTTGGTATTAGGGCTTGAGTTCAGGGGCTCAAGATTGGCACTCTACCACGTGAGCTACCCCCCCACCTTCAGCTTTTTGCTGGTTAACTGGAGAGAAGAGTCTTACAGACTTTCCTGCCTGGGCTGGCTTTGAACTATGATCCGTAGATCTCAGCCTCCTGAGTAGCTAAGATTACAGGCATGAAGCTTGTCTCTTAAAGCCACATTTTAAATTATTCTTTTGTGCGGCTCCCTTGTAGCATCTTGTAAGCTACCCCTTGGGACTCATTCAGTGGTCTATAGAACTGAGGCCCAGACATAATCAAGCCACTGGTCTGGGTGGGTCATAGTGCTGCTCAGAGATGGATTTGAGATTGAATAAAACAGCCAGACTGGCTACATTTCTGAGTCTGGCATTGGTGTGTGTGTGTGTGTGTGTGTGTGTGTGTGTGTGTGAGAGAGAGAGAGAGAGAGAGAGAGAGCGCCCCATGCGGTATGAACGTAGCCTCCTACTCCCTCACTCCCTTCTCCCACTGGATACCCACTTCTGTGGTTTCCCTTTCCCAGGTTCTCAGAGCTAGCCCTGCCTCTGCACCGACATAAGGCTTTGCTGCCCCTCGGCTCCTTCCAGAAGCACCAATCTCATCCTTTAACTTACCTATTCGGAAAGCAGAAGCCTTCCCTGGATCCCCCATGAGTGCCAGGATGGAGTATGGATTCCTCTAGGGTATCACAGCCCCATTTGAAACGGTTGACCTGACCCCGGCCTCCTGCATTTTCCTACCACCCTCCTTGGCCTGGCTGCTGCTTTCCACTCTCCTCAATTTGCTGCTTTCTCAACTCTTATCCTATTTGCCAGAGACTGAGTTCCCAGGCTATGGGCATGGCTACATGGAGTTGGAGGTGGTTGTTATTATTAATTGCCTTTGGATGTTGTTAGATTCTCTCTGTTTCACCTTATTCCCTCTACTTCTTATGTCTGGTGCTCCCGCTCTGATTTTCCTGCTGACTTCTGATGGAACAGTTGAGTTTTGATGTACCTTCCACATCCTGGACCCTCTCCCTTGCTCTTCTTCATTTGTTTGAAACAACTCCTACACACCCTTCAAATCCTTGCTTCAATGTTTTCCTGACTTATACATTCACAATCCTCTTGTCTTTCTCTTCTCCTTGACGCTGTACCTCAGGTGTCACAGCAGGTAACTGACATGTATTTCTCCTCCCACCAGACTGGTCATCCCTGAATACAAGAAGCTCAAAGGAAGCCCCAACCCATGAGGAGAAATGTTTCATAACCACCCCAGGCTGCAGTGTCTCTCTTTTCCACAGCCACACTGGCTGAAAGTACAGGAGAAATCAACCCTGGCCAGACCCACGTCTCTCCCAGGTTCCCTTTTTCTTTTCTCTGCTGTTTGAGGATCCTAGTGGAGCTGGCTGGTTTCATTTCTGGAAGGTGGCAAAGACACCTCTGGGCGGCTCATTCAAATCATGAAAAAGACCCGCTCAGCTCTGCTCTGGAGTTTTCACTTTGTGTAACAGAAGCCCCGCCTCCTCACCCTGCTCTGGCTCCCTGCAGGGCAGATGAAAACAGAAAAACAGAGTTTTCGTGGCCCATCCGTCCTTCAACCGCCCAGAGCCCGTTTTGAGCAAGACGTCTTGGTGGCTCGTTTTGCTACCAGTATTTCAGATTTGGCCGTTGGGGCTCTCTCAAGTTGAGTGAATCCGTGAGAACCTCTCTTCCTCCAGGACCAGTGGTTACCTATCTCTTTGTAACAACTCCCAGAAGTCTAACACCCCAACCTAGTTCAGAGGAGACACTCTTATGTACGCGAGAAACAAGCTAGAGGGTCCCACCCTTCCATTTGGGTTAAGGCATACACAAGGATGGCTTGAACTCAGATGATGGCTGAAGTCATCCAAGGCTGGAGAATTTACACTGAGAAAAGTGGCAACGTGCTACACATTCAGAGCCCTCTCTTCACTCTAGAAACCAATCCAAGAGTCAATATAGTGAGGCCACACCACAGAAGGTCTGCAGGGGTTGGTGTGGCCATTCTGGGGCTGGATATGAGTGGGAACGGATAGATACCCGGAGAGAGGGCAGGAGAGCAGGCTACCTGAGTAAAGATGCTGGGAGAGATTTCTAAACTACAGTCTACATGAAGTGATTGATACCTCTTCTTTCCTTCTTTCCATTCATCCATCTCTCCATCCCTCCTTCAATCCCTTCCTTCCTCCCTCTATCCCTCCCTCCCTTCCTTCCTTCTCTTCATCTCCTTCAATTCCTTCCTTCCTTCCTTTCTTCTCTCCATCCCTCCTTCAATTTCTTCCTTCCTTCTATCCATCTATCTCTCCATCTCCTTCAATTTCTTCCATCTCTTCATCTCTCCTTCAATTCCTTCATTCCCTCACTCCCTCCTTTCCTCTTTCTTCCTTCCTTTCTATAAACATTTCCCAACACGTACCCCCAAACTCCTGAGAGAATCAAGAATCAGACCCCGCCTCTCACAAGCCATAGTCTGCAGGTGAGTGACCCCTTTATCTCTTTCAGTGAACAGCTCTTCACAGCATCCAGAACCAGGCTTCAGGTAGGCGGGGAAGAAAGAGAGGGGGGAGGAGGGAGAGAGGGAGAGAGAGAGGGAGAGAGGGAGAGAGGGAGAGAGGCAAGTGCTGTGGTATGACAGGGAGGGATATGAGGGCAACCCAGAGAACCTTCACTTTTTAAAGCCACCCCCCATCCCTTGTGGCTTTGAGGCTGCCTGCCGAGGCGCCTCGCTTGTGAGTGAGCTGAGCCATCTAGGAACCTGGCCTTCTTAGCCTCAGCTGGGTGTGACTCTGCAGCTGAGATTCATAACTGGGGTGTCTGAAGCTGGATGACCCACTCAGCACCCCTCAGGACTCCCTTCACATCCTCTCTAGCTGAGACTGTGGTTAGACCAGAGGAAGGACTTTTTTTTTTCTTTCTTTTTGTTGTTAATAGAGAGGAGTTGGTCCTTGGTTGAAGTATATGCAGTTTACTCAGGGGTTGGCTGTGGCTTCTCCAAGCTGAATGCCCCTGGCCAGCCCATGACACCCATCCCTTAGCTGGCAAGAGGCAACCGATAATGGGTACCAAATCGGTGGTGGGATGTGCCCCAGGGAGAAAGCAAGCCCAGCTGACTACACAGCAAGGCATCATTCACACAACCCTGACATCTGCAGCTTGCTCCTTCTCATAACTCTGGGAGGACAGGGATGGGAACCCCTCCTTAGACTAGAGGGAACCAGATCAGGACCAGAGGTCCTGAGCCCCCCCACAAGGGCCTCACCCATCACCCCAAGATGGTCCTTACATTCATTCAGAAAGACACCCCCTTTTCCTGCCCTCTTGTCCTGCTTGGCATTTTCTAGGAGCAGCTACCAATTCTCACCAAAGGCCTCCCAATTCCTCCCTAAGGCTCTTACCAAACCTCCCCACCCCCCCATCTCCATCCCACCCCCAATACCCCAAGTCTGTTCCTTCTCACTCACCGAGGTCCATGACACACTCCGGGGGCAGCTGAAACCACACAGGAAGGTTGGGCCGGAGCCTCTGTCTCAAGCTACCCCTGTCTGGGGAGGAAGTGGTTCGAGCCCCTTTTAAGTTCTGAGAGGATCCGCCCTCCTCCCTGCCCCTCCCACCCTTGCTCCTCCCCCAGGCCTGGTTGTATCCCTCGTGGGGGCCCCCTGAGACCAAGGTTTTGAGAGCAGTGCTCAAGTGAAAGCCCCATGGCCTGTCATAGGACCTTGAATCACTGTTGGGTCCTTTACCACTGAAAACCCCTCCGAGCCTCCTGGCAAAGCCGAGGTGAGGGGCGGTGGATGGATCTGACACATGTTTGTAGCAAGAATGTCACATGCTAGGCTGTAGGTGGAGGCAGGGGTGTCAGAGGGATGTGCCCTCAGCCTTCCTTTTTTAAATCTGTTTCCGTTAGATTTTGGCCAAACTGGGGTTGGAGGGCCGGGTGCTTTCTAGGCAGGTGCTGGACCATTGAGAGATATCTCTAGCTCCTTTCCCTTTGTTTTGATGAAACTCTTTCAAAGAGTCTCAACTGAGTATCAATGCAGGAGCTGCTATCCGGGCAGCCACCAGGTGAAAGAGAAGAGGGGCACCCGAGAGGCCCACCTGTGGGTACCACCTGTGTGTACCACCCCGGAGGATGCATCAACAGTAAGGGCTGGGATGACAGGCAAGACCTTGGTGACACAACCACAAAGTGAAAGTTTTAGTAGTTACAGTTCCTGGGGGCGGGGACAGGGAGAAACACAAGCCAAGAGCAGGACACCTCCCAACCAGGGGGTCAGGGATCTAAGGCCCCGCCTGACAAGGGACCTGGGAGCCACGACTTTATTTTTCCAGAAATTATTATTATTTTTATTATTGAGTTATGAGTTCATTATTATTTTGGATAAAATCTCTTAATATGTGTTTATAATATATACAAATATATACATATACATATAGATTTACAATATATATACAAATATATATATTATATTTGTAAATAGTTTCTCCCATTCTGTGGATCTTTTTTTTCCCCCTGTGGATCTCTTTTTGTTGTTATTTGTTGGTTTCCTTTGAAACACATCGTTAAGTATTGAAGTCCAATTTATTTATGATTCTTTTGGCATTTGTGTTTCTGGTGTTATGGGTAGGGAACTATTGCCCTATTCAAGTCTACAAAGATTTATTTCTATATGTTCTTCTTGCTTTTTGCTTAAAAAATTAGTTTTAGTTCTTTCATTGAGGTCTGATCTATTTTGCATACAGTGTGAGGTAGAGGGTATCTACCTTCCTTCTTTAATGTGCTTAGTTTTTCCTCGCTTCATTTGTTGAAAGGCTGTAATCTTTCTCTTATTGCACAACCTTGGGTATCTTTTTGATTTTTTTTTTTTTTGAGTCCGGTCATGGGGCCTGAACTCTGGGCCTGGGCGCTGTCCCTCAGCTCTTCAGCTCAAGGCTAGCGCTCTACCACTTGAGCTACAGCGCCACTTCTGGC